CTACAAACAGCTCACACAGCAGCATTAGAGCCCCCAGTATCTCAGAGGAAAGCTCTGCCCTGCAGAGCCCACCTGTGTTACTGCCAAAGAGCTGATTCCTGCATTCCTGCATCACCTCAAGCAGTGCTGCTTTATGGGGACTGAGGGCTCTTCCGTAGCACTTCCAAAACTGGAAATTAGATCCATCACAGGTGCTCCACACTGCTGCTCTTAGCCTGCAAAACTAATGTGCTTTACTTGTAAATACGTAGTTTCTAGGTTAGGTAAATGATTGCTGAGGTCAGACTTAATGTCCTTAATGATCCTATTTTTGGCCTTGAAATCTCTGCATTCATGACTTTCATGTCTCATTGGCCTTTGCATTTTCCATCATTTCTATTTATTTTTGCAGACAGCAGTATGGAAACTGATTTTAGTCAGACAAATCTTGACTACTGGACATTTTGTTTATCTATCTATTTTTGTATTTTCTTTTTTTAGATAATCACATGTAAAAAGACAGGCCCATAAATCATGCAAAACTACAAAATGAACCCTATGACAGTCTATGAAATGGACTTTTAGAACAATCTTTTCTGTATTAAAAACAATTACTTTAAGAGTATGTACACGTGAGAGTGGGCCTGTCGTTTGAGAACAGCTGATAAAAAAAACTGAATAAATGTAGTTCTGCCCCTTTTCCTGTTTTTCTTTTAACCCCCACTTCTCTTTTACAGTTCCTGGTCAATTGTTGCAGTTGGATTACTGGTTCTGGTTTTTATTGCTTTGTTGGCTCGTGTTCTTGTCAAAAGAAAACCACCAAAAGATCCGCTGTTTTATGGTATGTCCTGTTAACATGGGAGCTAAATTCAGAACGTATTGATTTTTGTGAAGGATAATATATAGTGATTGTTTCAGCTTTAAAATTTAACCGTGGCTTCGGAACTCATTCTATACATTTCTATTTTTACACTTTGCCATCAAAGCATGGAGATATCGATTACTTTCTGAAAGGAAACCTTACTTTTAGATTACCTTGGAGCAAAAACGCTGCAGCTGTGTCTTTGGCTGGCCTATTTTTTTCTAAGCTGAAAATTTTGCAACATTGGACTGTAGCTGAAGCAGCACATAAACTTTGTGTATTTATCCTCTGTCTTCCTCCTTATTACAACTTGTAGGCATCTGTCCTGCAGTGTTTTGAGGTTGAGAACTCTCAATTCCCACAGATGTCAAAGGAAATAAAAAGCCTAACATAAGTAAGTTTTCTGTCTCAGATGAGCGACTCTGAATGCCACTCGGCCTTGCTGGATAGGTCTCCCATGGACTGCAGGGGCTAATGCTAATGTGCTAATGGCATTCTCCTTCAAAAATGGCAAGTTACATTTTCTTTTTTTTTTTTTTGTCCTATCCCTTTTCAGGAGGTAGCGACAATCAAGGTCACTTTATGACTAAGATCTTTGAAAGCATACTTGGCCTTCTGGATATGCTGATTTTTCCACGGAGATTCATGGGGGCTGTGCCTACAGCTCCATGGGATTTCACATTCCTTTGAAAAACCTTCTAAGAACTTCCTGAGTTACTAACTATTGAAAAACTATGTGAAACTATGTGAAAAATGATGTGAAATTGTCGCATCATATGTATGTTAAATATCCGTGACTCAAAATAGACATGTATAGTTCAGTAGATCTCTGCTTGACTGTGTTTATTAGATTGTGAGGTGACTGCATGATTTCAAGTCTTTATACATTTCTAAATTTTATTTTTATTTATTTATTTTTAATTTATTTTCTTCTGTCTTCTTACAGTTTATGCTGTATTTGCCTTTACCAGTGTAGTGAATCTAATAATTGGGCTGGAACAAGATGGAATTATTGATGGATTCATGACTCATTACTTGAGAGAGGTAAAGGACCGCTTGGCTTACAAATACAAATAAAATCTTCACTGTGAGTAACTTGTTCCAGTATTTGCCACAGAAAAACAGCCTCTTACATGTTCAACAGGACCTTCTTAAATTTGGTCACTGACCTGTTCAATTGTTGTTATTGGCAAAACTGTCATTGACTTGAAATCACTGACTCATTTGGAAAATTAACATCCCTTTCAACTCCAACCTTATTTAATTAAAGTAATACTGTTCTGTATTAACTTGTATGGTCATTATATGGATGGAAAACAGTTGCTGAAAACCATAGTCAACACATGGGGTGGATGGGTGCTGCCATATCTAAACGTTTTACCAAGAAGGAAATAATACCGTTCCTTTGCTTTTGCCCAGTTCCTTTCATACTTGGAATTGAAGTAGAGTTAACAAAACGATGGTGCCAAACACCTACTCAGCAGAATCTGTTGGCTGCTGATTAGCAACATCCACCAAAAATAGCTCAGTAAGATCTTGCTCTCAAAGTCACTGAAGTCACTGAAAAGATTCCATGAGCTTTAGTGTGGAACGAGTTGGGGCCTACAAAGTTACCTGTTGGCATCATTAACACGTCCAGCACTGCTGTAGATCTCTAGGTTGACAGATGTATCTTTGTTACTTGTTCAATGTGGCTTCGTTTTGTTTCTTTTAACACTGAAATACGGCAATATAGCAGAGCAGTGATGATGATCACATGCAGGAGATTTCCCTTCATCTTGCACTCTGTCCTGTAACCATAGAACCGATTTCATTACATTTGATCCTTACTAAATCAGGTTTGTGCTTGGAAACATCTTTATTAACAGTCGAAAAGTGTACTGCTGAACTGTATGATCATCAGTTACTTTTATCAAATCGTTTCCTGCTGTTCTTTATTAATTGATTATTCTTTCTTGAATCATTGCATGATTTTTAAAACAACTTTTCCCTAGGGTGAACCATATCTGAACACTGCGTATGGCCATGTGATCTGCTATTGGGATGGCTCTGCTCATTATCTGATGTATCTTTTGATGGTGGCAGCTATTGCTTGGGAGTAAGTCATTCTGATTTGTGTAATACTTTGCTTGCATTTAACCCACGAAGGGCTTTCTTTTCTATGTAGCATTTAGATTGTTCTTTCAGGACTGTTTCATGTCATAGGCTAAAGCAACACTACTGAAACGTCATTACTTTCAGGAACTGTACCCTCTTCAAGTTGTCTTTTCTCTCAGCTTTGTAAGACCAACAAATCCATTGATCTATGGTTTCTCTCCTTCACCCTGAGAACAGTCCATCTGTGTGCTTTATGCTAGTTAAAAGCAAAAGAACACACATTAAAACTATGAGATATGTTGCCCCCATTAGCATATTAACAGTTAGAGTACTGTATAGTTTAGCATTATGATGCACTCTCTCCATTTTGGAGAGAATCACTTGCTTAGCAGGCAGCAGCCCTTTCTACAAGTTCTTTTCTTTATTTCTGTTGAAGAAGGTTTGAGAAGATAAACTCTTGAATCCAGAGGCTAATGTACACACACTGGCAATAGGAGCAACACTGGAATTCAGTTAATTAATAAATAATTATTATTTTATCATATTTGCGTACATACGACATGCAAAATCACACAGTCAGCCTTCAGATGAGTGAAACATAATGACAGACAACTAAGTATGAGCAGATCCTGTACTATTCATGCAATAGCCTGCTCAGACAGGAGTGTAGTATTCTAAATTCCCACCTCGAAACAAGAATCCAATGCTGTCTTGTGGTGCAGATCTTAAATATTTGCTTACTAGGACACAACCACACCAATCATAACATTTGAAGATGATTTGGGGGTAGTGGATTTTTAGGGATAGTGCAAAAATGTTGTTTTTGTATTTATACATTTTTTATTTTTTATTTTTAACAGACAAAGCTATAGAACCATTGGCCTTTACTGGTTGGGCTCCATTTTCATGAGCATCATTGTCTTTATGCCTGGAAACATTGTGGGTAAGGATGTAATTATTTAACTAAATTTCTCCTGTGAAACGTTTTCAAAATTCAGCAATAGGTTATTTCTGTTTTGCTGCAGTCAAAGTCTTAAATCTAAGTCTTCCAAGTCTTCCTGTTTATAATGAAGTGAAAGACAAATTTTAGGACTATCAATAACAGAGACAGAATATTTCAAAATTTAAATATGAAATATGAAAAGAAATTGTTTTGATTCACATTCTCAAGGAAAAATAAAAGTATTGTATTTTGCTATGCCCATAAGATTTCATCCAAATTAGGTTTAATTTTAGCAGGGATACAGTACTTGTCTCCAAGTAAATAATATCAAACTTATTTTGCAGAGAATTACTAATTAATATTATGACTTTCAAGCAGCATTAGGGTCATCCAGATCACCTTTAACAAAATGAAATCTGGAGGTTATTCAATTTTCAAAATAAATTGAACATTTTTTGATTAAGATAAATCATTGCATAACTGCTAGAGATTAGAATTGTAATTTAAGTATTCACATAATGTCCTTCTGGCGCATGGTGCCTTAAAGTGTCCCCACTTTCAGGATGTTGAAAAACCACAAAATACCGGATCTTAAAAAATAGGTAAATTTCTTTTTTTTTTCCTTTTTTTTTCCTTCTCCAAAGCATAGTCTCTATCTGAAGTAAGTTCCACAGGAGAGTTCACAGCCCTCCATTCCTGTAGGATTACCTAGCACAGAGTCACTGATGTGGTTTCTTGTCCTCTCCAAAAAAGGACGATTTCTCTCATTTCTGACATGCCTTCCTGGCTGATAGGTTCAGTCTCACTGTGCCTGGCACTGTTGAGTACCAGATTTTCAAGATCTGCTTTGCTTTCACAGCAGCTTCCAGTGTTTTATGTCTACACTACCATAGCTGCTTCCGGTTTGATATTAGATACTTAGTATTCAGCACAGCTTACAGATTTTTCAAGTACCTTATGATCATTTTGTTCTAACAGGAAAATACGGAACAAAAGTGTGTCCTGCTTTTTTCTTGAGTGTACCATATATTTGCCTTCCCATATGGGCTGGGTTCCGAATTTATAATCAACCTTCAGCAACTCCTGATACTCCAGTCAAGGTAATATTATTGTATTTAAGTGTTGGTTACTGTTAGAAAAACTCAAATATGCCTATTGTCTGTATGGAGTTTTCCAGGCCCCTCTGTGGCAGAGGAATGCTTTATAATTGTTCACTGTTACGACAATTGCTGCCAGGCTGTGTAGACACTGTAAATATACCTGTACTACAAGAACATATCATTAAGGTGGGATAAAGGAATAGCAAAATTCTCTCATGTTTAAAGCAAAGGACTCATTTTTAAAGGTAATGTTGTTACTTCCCTCTATTTATTCAGCTTTTGACTGTTTCAATTCCTCAACTGATGGAAACATTAAAATATACCAATGTCATAAGGTGCCACAAAATCCTTAGAGACCTTCTACAGAAAAATATTCTTCCGTAGAAGACTTACAGACTTTATGTAATTTAAACATTTCCTTCCTTTTTGTGCATGTATGTGTGTGTATTCTGCAATATTAGATTGTAAAGGTAATATTAATTGTTCAATTATTACTCACTAATTGTTTCTACACTTTACGTTTTCAAAGAAGATTGTAAAAATCATCTTTACTTACAAGCTGGTTAGGCTGTTGCCATTGAATTTAATAGCTAGTCTGTAATAATATAACTGAGCAATAAAAAAATGGAATAATGGCTTATGCACTGTCTTACTAAAAACAAACAAAATAAAACAACCCTGTAATACAATGCATTGAACAGACATTTAACTCTTTGTTGCCATTTGCAAGCCAGTTTATTGCCACAGCAATAAATATAATGTAAATATAATACAATGTAATATATTGTAATATAACCAAGTAATATTTTTGCATCTCAAGAGCTCTCAAGTCCCTGTCAGCTTCATTCTATAGCTGAAAATAAAGACACAGCTGAAAAGAATTACTATTCCATAGCTAACAGGAGCTAACAGGAGGAGAATAGGAGCACATTCTAGGGAATAGAATAACAGCAGATGACGCACTGAAAAATATTCCAGAAATGTATGAAAGAGAACATTCAGCCATCCATCCACACATGATGAATCTTAGGTGAGGAAGAGGAGCATAGACAGACTTTCGTATCTCCTGAAGTTTGAAGATAAGCTATGGGCTGTGCCTCGCTTTTGGGGCACATCCTTCTTAAAGGTAAAAATCAGGGAAAGTGTATGTGCCAAACTCCCTTCTACTCTCCCGTATGATCTTGCAGGAAACCACGTCCCATATTGTGGAAGTCTGAGCTGATTTACTTAAGCTTGTCAGTAATTATCAGCCAGAAGCTTATCTGTTAGAAGTAGTTAAGTGTAGTTAAATGTAGCATTGACTTTTGTTGAATGTATTAGTGAGAACATTCTTTGCATGAAGAATTGGTGAAGGTTTCGGTTTGTTTTCCCAGCAAAGAAAACAGTGCAGAAATTGCTGTAGTAGTAAATATGTGATGGGTTGTTTATTTGCTGAAATACAGCCACGCCTCCAGCGCTCACAAGGAGTTCAACCACTTACTTAGATTTGGTACTGGTACATATGCCAGGGAAACTCACTTTCTAAATTTTCTTTCAAAAAGAGACTGAATTAGAAGCCTGTGAGCTGAAAGTTTGACGGTGCACTTGTAAGTGAGTCCTTTCTTGGGAAGCTGAACTTCCTTTCCTTAGAAGACCATAAAAAAAAAGTCTTCATTCCTTTCACCAGGGCCATCAAGCCTTGCCCAGCCACTTCGTTTTCAGAACTCGTTTTCTGTTCACAGCTATTTTATCCTCTGTATCCAAGGATTACAACTGGAAATTTGTGTCTCGGTCCATTAACAGTATAATTTAAAATACCTTCAAGCCATAACAAAATTGCTATTATTTTAATAAAACTTTCTCAGCTCTAAAGTGAGTATTGTTTCCAGGAAATAATTGTGTATAATGCTACTGCTAATCAGTTTAAATAATCATTGTAAATCCTGGAAATAGGATCTTTCAAAAGATCAATTACAATTAGCTGAAAGATTGAACAGCTTCAGCTATCATGCAGTCAGTGTAGGTTTAGATAGAAACTTTAATAATGACTTTAAGTGTGATAGAGCAAATATGGAGAAGAACTTACATGGAAGCAACAGATGCAATTCTGGGGCCAAAATACTCATTGCTATAAGGCTAGGATAAACCATTAAGTTAAACAAATGAATTAATAAATAAAACCCAAATAAAAGCAAAGCAACAAAACTCAAGGAGATAATCAAATGTTGGGTGTTTTTTAATAGAAGTGGTGCATAGAAAAGGAGAAGAATTATGCCCTCACTTAGAATCAAAGCAAACTGTGCCACGCTTTTTTACAAAGCCCAGCAGGTTATCTCTAAGTGTATCAGCTCAGGAAACAGGTTAATGTAATTTAAAATTCATTTACAAAATTAAAACACATAAAGTCAGGTTTGTACATGAATTCTGGAGGGTCTGACTTCTACAGACAGCTCATAAGATTATTCCTGTTCCTTAAATCTGAGCATGCAAGGAGCCCCTCAGAGGTTATGGAAAATTCCTTTTCCTGGATGTGAGAGAAAATGCTCCATGTGCCTGCACATTTCCTCACCACACAAAAGAAACAGCAGTGTTGGCAGGACCCGTGCAGAGGTCAGTTTTGTTTGCAGTAAGTAGGAGACCTGTAGCAGGTTATCTCTGCCAGGCCGACGTGCTTAGTGCCTCATTCATTTCAGCACATGCTGATGTGACTCTTCTGTGTAAAAAGAAGCATAGGGCAAAGTTACTGTGCAGCTTAGCTCTGACAGTAAAGTGCATCTTTTCCCCTTCTTAAGCTTTTCATTTCTATTTTGCTTAGTGTAGACATAGAAAAAAAAGGTGCATTCATTTCTGCACCTTGGCCATTTCACAAACTAGTACTGCACCAAAATTTGTTGTAGTTTTGTGATCACAGTGAACATATACATTCAGTAACGTACCTTTTGACATGAGGGAGTGATGCATATAAATATATATGGAAATGCGTGTATGCTTCATACTTAGTCTAAGTGGAACGTCCATGTGGTAGTTTATATCCGATAATGATTTAGCTCGACAGCCCTGGGAAGTCTTTGTCTCTCTCTCGAATAAATGTTAGAATATACATACATTATTTGCATGTGTTTAAGCGCAGCAACATTTATAAAAGTTCTTCAAATACTGCAAAGCAACAGGTTTTTTTTCATGAAAAATATTAAAAAATAAAATAAAATAAATAGGCCGTCCCTTTCTTAGAGCTTGAGTATCAAATGGCCTTATTTTTGTTAAACTACAGTGCAGATCTTACAGTCCTTGCCCAGGAACTGAGCTTGCAAATTAGTTCTCCTTCTTTAGGGCTTTTATTGTAATCTCGAGTGCTTTTAACTGTGCCTCTACATCCTAATTATTGTTTTGTGCTTTTGGAGACAATTCCACAAGTATAAGACAGGAAGGAGATCAGATTTTTCTTTTTGCTGTGTGCATGCCAACACATGGCAAATAAAAAGGAAGAGGAAATGACTAACACATATAAATGGGGAAGTTCTCCCCCTGAACTACAAAGATACTCTGATGTGCTTACCACGTTGTCCGTCAATACGCAGTGCTGAAACTGTACCCAGAATGGTTTCCATGAGTCTAATATGTTCTACCAAGTAGGCCAAGCAGTCACTCTTGTTCCTCCATGTCATCCTCCTGGTTAGATTTCCAAACAGCTTTTGGTAACACAGAGCCATCAGCTCTTACAGGCACACATGGTGGGCTATAGGGGATCCTGCTCTGAAGCTATTTCTGCATTATGTATTTGGATATAATATTTGTTCACTGATCTCAGCATAGACCACAGAAATGTTTTTCTTTTATCCATGTTCCTTTAATTTCTGTAGCGTCACAGGCTGCTGAAAATAAGCATTCACTGTCACTGATGAGATGAGCTCTCATTTTGCTGTCCCTCCAAACAGTCCTTAGATTCAGTTTCGAATGTTTGAGATAATAAACCAACGCTTCTAAAGCTTTTCTACATTTAAATTAACAATAGATGCAACTTTAAAGGAAGTTTGTAATACTGCTTTAAAGATTGATGTGAGTTCAGGGTTAAAGTACCATTATTTAAGTTGCTTTGAAAGTTAACTAATCCATATTCAAATGGCTTCAGTTGGATCCATCCATTTCTAGAGTTTATTCAGACTAGTTTTCCTGACTGCACGCTGTCAAGTCCAAGATCTCCTTTTCACATGCAGAAATCTTTCAGTCCCTGAAATTAGTGGAAAAATAAGGTAACAACTGTGAACTGCTTCTATCACAATGTTTCACAGCTGGAACCTTCTTGTAGTGAATGATCTGGAGCTAATTACATGTCAGGCAGAGCTGGGATGTATTAAACGTGTTGTGCATTGCAGGTGGTTCAGGAAGTTCAGAAGAAAGGACTCTTAAGGCGACCAATGGATTTAATGTTAGCTGCGTATCTCGTTCTGGCAGCGGGGTTTTGCATATTCAGGGGCATGGTAAGTTGAAGATATTTCAATATTACAGCCTTTCCTTTTCAGTCAAAATGTTAAACTTGTTTTTCTAAAAGATATTTTCGCAACTGTGTGGAAAAAATGTGTACATTTCAGTCAAGGAAAATTCCTTCATTATCAAGATTGGAATAGGCCTTAGACACATAAACTGAAATTTAGGATAATTATTGGTTCTTTGTTTCTCCATTTTACCATATGTAAAGTGTGTTTTTCAGAAGAAATTGCACACAATTTCGGGAGTACATAGCATCCCAGGTGCAGATCAATGGAACAAAATTGTTTTGAGTGATTTAGAGTTGCATTTATGTTCAAGAACATTGAGGTAAGCCAACTAAATTAAGTCTCTGTTTTTATAAACAGATACTTCATTGAAATTATATAGGAAACAAAATTAATTTATACTATGTTGAAGAGAAAAAAAACACAAAAAACTCCCAAAACACTGAACCCCCAAACAAAAAAAAACTTACGCTGTTTCTACTTACCAAATATGATTTGGTCTTTGTGTTTGTTTTAAGCACACTTGATTGAATTAAAATTTCAGAGGGAATGAGTCAATGTTGAAAATGCTTGTTGAAGTAGATAAATTCAGTAGTAGGTCAATCCAGTTGTTAGTAAAGAAAACGCCTTCTGTCGTAAGCAGAAAGGAATTTGTGTATCATCCAGTCTCAAAGTTCAGATGTTTATGCATCTTAGACCTACTGCAGATTGCCCTGCTGTAGTTCTGCTCCTCAATTACACTCATCTTCTGCTGTTTCTCCAAAAACTTGCCTCACAACCCCCCCCCCTTTTTCCCTCCCTTTTAACTTGTTGCAGATCGCTTCATTTCTTATGTACAACGCTATTTCAGAGCGCTACTCGTGCTGGCTGATCTGCTATTTCACCTACAGTTTTGCTGTGGGAAGTATTCTCTCATGCTCTAGCATCTAACTTTAGTCTGTAGTCCCACTTCATTTCCTATGAGGAATAACTTGCTGATTTTTTATTTTTTCTTTATAGTATGTGGTCATTTCCATATAGTTTTACATAACCAAAACAGGAACAGCTTACTGGCCTTTCTTCTACATACAGAGATCCACCAAACATCTCCATGTAGCTGCAGTAGCCATGATTTTATGAAAGTGCTCAGAAATATAATATATTAGAACACACCCAGACCTTCTTGGATGCTCATATTGGAAAAGAACAGGGAGGAATATCCATTTCTTGTAAATCTTCCTATTTCTTGCCAAAGTCACACAACAAATACACATAATATTTGGTTGTGCAAAAGTCACGTTTAGCCCTGCTGGTAACTACGTGTTAATAATGCCTTGCTGCAAGTCTTACTGAGGCAGCTCTTGATAGAGATTGCTTACTCCTTTTAGAATAGTTATTTTTTTGTAGAAGGTGTTTTAAGGATCCTGTGAGAAGTCATTCCTTGTGGAACTGGATCTTGTTTATTGGGAACTTTGTTCGCTCTACAGGAATGTAAAATCCACTTCTCTCTGCTACTCCCTTTAAAAATCATTATTGTTGTTTTTAATTTACACTTGTCTTTGGAATCTGCATTGCTCTCCACTGCTACTTTGCCACATTGCAAATCTTTTCTTGGACTACACCTGTAGCTTGCTATCCTAAACTTGAGTGCTTAACCGGAAGTTTCCTCACACTCCTTGAGCAATTTTCCATTCAAAAGCCCATTCACTGGGATTAAAGTCTGGCTGTCAGACCAAATCAGTAATTGTTATATTTTTTACTAGCACAGCCAAGTGATTGAATTCTCTTCCAGCCAAAATTTTTCAAGTATGCTGTGAGCATTTCCTCAGCACCTCCCTGAGCAGCATGAGAGGAGACTGCATTTCAGGCTTTTTTTTGTTTCCCCTTTTTAAATTGATGATTAAAGGAATCACCTTTGGAACAGATGCTAAGCAAGTCTCATAGGAAGCAGTACTTCAGCCCACTCCTAGAGCCTTAGGGCTGGTAACAGGTGTAGAGAAAGTCCTTTGTTCACGGGAAGTTTTAAAAATTCTTCTTAGATTGCTCTGGATTGCCCTGCTGAACTCTGCCGGCTATATATTCAACTGCACGAGCCTTATATAAAAGATCCTGCTGCCTATCCTAAGCTTCAGGTAAAGCATTGACTGTGAAAGCATACATTGTTACGAAGTGATTTGTTACCTGGCACAAAGATGACGCCACGGGTTACACAGATGACAAGATCAAGAAGGAAAGTATTTGTTTATGGCAAGTTAAACGGTATTTTGTATTTCCTACTAAACAGCCTGCCAGGATACCAGTTCTTCATTGTGATAAACTTAACCTTGATTCAGATCTGTTACCTGGAGTTACACATCCTAATTACTCAGGCTTTTTAAAATATATTTCATGAGATAGATCCGCGTGCTTTTTATAATCATTATTCTCTTAGATGGACAAAGCAGACCTTCAGTCTGGAATAACGGAGCAAAAAGAGGTGCAGAACTAGGTTCCTTAAGCTCATGTTGTGCTTCTGTCACCAATGACATGCTCCTTCAACCACGATGCCTCCTACCAAACCTATTTAAATGCACATTTGCTTCAGTTTTGTAATATTTGCAAAGTTGCCATTCTTTTGCGACCCTGTCTGCTGCTTATAAGGACAGGTCCTGAAGTGATAAGAAGACTCACCATTCAGTGACCTATACTTTCTGGAAAAAGGGGTATTCAGTATAGTCAATACATTTCACACTTCAACATATTTCACACTCCAAAACAGAAAGCACTATGGAGCTTGAGAAATGGACTCTGAATAGCATCCAGTGGATGTACTGGATGGTGAGTTAGGACAAGCCATGCTTATTGGCATGGTCTCAGGATGGCAAGCAGTATGATGAGGGAAAACATGTCCTGCGATAAAGAGGATTTGGATCAGGTAAAGAGACAACAGCCATTGATACTGGTTGGGGCCTGGGGGTGTATGGATCCAGTCAACAGCATCCTCTTTTCTCAAAGAGGTTTTAGATACAAAGTTTTGAATAATCTCAATTCTACAGTCAACAGCTGGCTAACTTTTAATGCACCTCCCTCGTATTGCAAAGGAACTAATATTTGTGTTTAAAATGCAGATGCTGGCATATATGTTCTACTCCGTGCCATACTACGTGATTGCTTTGTATGGCCTACTGGTGCCTGGTTGTTCCTGGATGCCTGATTTAACCCTTATACATGCTGGAGGACTAGCTCAGGTATTTCTCCATAAAATATTCACTCTTGAATTACTAGTTAATAAGTAGAGAACTATGGAATATGTAAGGAGAGCAGGGCTTGACCTAGCCATGTCGGTTTTATGCCATATTAACACAGATCATCTTTCGTATCTGTGTAAAACTAACTTGAGGGAATGGAGACTCAAGCTTATTTTATATTTGACTGCTTTCTTGCCTTGGTAGACTTTTCTCTTTCTACTGAATCATTCAATCGGGAAAATGCAAACCTTATTGAGTGCCATGCATTCTTTAGCTGAGACTATGAAAGAAACCTGTCCCAAAGTGCCAGCAGTGGGTCATGTGAAAAAACATACAGCTCCAACAAAACAGTAACAATGTTCCCATAATATGTATGATATGCCAGATCAGTGGTTTGAAAAGCACAAGTGGAACAAGGAGCTACTAGTCACAGTGAACAGACAGTGACATTAAGACACACTCCTGTTGCCAAAGGCATGCTAGTGATCATACTGAACTCATTGTTTGGGTTCTCTTAAAAGCTCTTAGTGCCGGTGGCTGTAAGACTGACCAAAAGAAAAAGAAACTGATAAGCAGTAATAAACTACCTATCATGCCATACAGATAAACATTCACAGCTGAGACAACGACAAATAATTTGTACTGTATGCAGGAAATGTATTCTGAGTATCCAGACAACACAGGAAAATATGCACTCAGTGCTTTAACAATAATGAAAACATTGAGACACAGCAGTAAGGGTAAATCAAGTACTGTTATTAGACAAACACAAACCAACACTTTGTTCCCTGTTGCAGAGATAACATTCATGGGTACAAACTGCAGTCCAGCTTAACTGCCCACTCAGGATGGAGGGAGTGACAGCTTACTTTCCATTTGTCAGCTGGTATCACAGAGAATGACTTTTTTATCCAACAATTTATAGATGATCTTGAATCACCAAATTGTATCAAAACAGAATCTGACAAATATATTATCCAAAAGGTGTAAAAAAATATACAACTGTGTTTGGCACAGTCTAACCTAAAAAAAGCACAAGCTAGCTAACGTAAGCAAGGCAGCATTGGGAACATTTCTCTACTGACAGATTGCTCAGGTTTCATGAATTCCTCAAGCTGGCAGGTTAAGAACTGCTTCTTCAGTGATTATTGAGCCCTTTGTGAAATAAACCAGAAGTCAAAGTATGCTGAATGTCACAAACCTACCTACAAACTCAGACCCTCAGACTGGAGGGGATCTGGTTTTGTTTTTTAAAAGAAATCTTTCTGAAGTGGTATTTTTTACTCAGAATTTCCCATTTTAATCTTTGAAGCTTGTGCTATGTACAAAACTTCATGGGTTGACAAAATCCAATTGATAAAGGGAACTTATGTTGCTGTACACTCCCACATTTCCTTTGGGATATTTGGGTTTTTTTGTACTTCTAACTGCAATGCACAGCAGAATGAATTTCAGTCATCACACAACAGAAAAAGATTTACTTGATTTGACTTTGTGAACTTTGAGCAACTGAGGAAGAAAAATTTGACATAATGGACCAAAGGCACCTTTCTAGAGGGTTTTTTTGTTACTCGGAGGGATACAACACATTTTCGGGTTTGCCTTAGGTTAAAAAACTTGCAACTGATGATCAAAATGCAGTACTGAATTGGATTTTGCCTTCAGTTATGAGCAAAGGTCCAAAAAAAAGGTAAACAACTAGTGACAGAAATGGGGCATTGACCCCAGGAACGAACACTGCTCCTACAGATGTCAGATGTCGGCATCTCAGTTGTTTTTATTCCTATCATTAGGAAATATATACTTTTTGCAAAAAAAAACAAGTCTCAAAATGCCACATGATGCATCCAAATGAAGACCCTCTCAAAGTGCCTGCCCTTTCACACACAAAAATAACCATTCCTCTCTGTATTTATTGCTTCAGAATTACACATCGCTCTCAGTTAAATGGTTGTTCCTGACATTCAGATTTCAAGAACAGGTTGTAACTCTTAAACATTGTGAAGTCGAAGGAAGAGCTCTTTAAATGTCAAAGCACCACAGTACCAGAGCTTTGATTATTACACTTTGCATGCTCTCCGTGAACTTGAAAAAACTGGTGTTCACCTACGCAAGTGAGCTACATGTGAAGCAATTTAAGAGCCATACCCCTGCTGCCCACAACCAGTGGGTACCAACTGTCTCACCAGTTTTTTGCAGCCTATTTCTCTATACTGTCCAAAATATAGAAAGTTTTTCTTTACTCCTCCATAGATCTGCTCTCCTCAATTCTGCAGTTTTTGGTGACTTCTTTCTGCAGTGTCTCAGATCTGCAGGAGAACTAAAGCAAAGGAACATATTTTTCTAGGTTACTCTCTCCCCATTCCATTTGATGACTTTCCTTAGGTACATAAGATCTGATCCAATCCCTTCCAAAATCTGTTATAATTTTTTTATTTGATTTTAATCTGTATTAGAAGGAACCTTTCTCCAGGCTCTTTTCCCCTGGCTGGAGGACTTTCTTGTCTGCAGGGTAACAAAACCCAACAACTACAGTAACGCTACAGACAAAAAATATTGTAAAAAACCCAAACTACTTCATACTGACAAGGAGACTAATGTGTAGCAGGAAATGTAAATTACAGCTGTCACACTGAGCAGTGCCAAACCCAGCACCAGTCTTCTTCCAGTGATTGTGGAATGGCCCCACCAGCACACTGTCAAGGCTCCAAGTTTAACAAAGGCCACATGTTTATTAAACAGAAGAGGCTACCTGAGAAGTTAACCTGTAGCACATTATCTGGTTGATTTCTCAGCCAAGTTCTGATTCTCAAAATTCTCCACTTGAAGGTTCAGTGGCAGAAAGCACCAAGGATTGGTTTATTCACTGGGAAGATATGATCACAGCAGACTCAAGGTTGTCCTCACTTACTGAAATACCAGCCTAGTGCACAACTGGCACAGTGATCTGGAATGACTAACAGCTCTTACCTTTCTAAAGAACATGGATTGGGCACTTGAAGTCAGAGCACGATTAGGCTACTGGCAAATGAGAGACCTGCTTTAAAGCATTCTCTTTCCTCCTCCCACCAAGACTAAAAACCCAAACCAACCAGAAAAACAGAAGCTGAGTACGGTCATGGAAAGATAGAAGATTAAAAGCCTAACACAGTCTACATGAAGGTAAATCAAACTTGAAAAAAAATTGACTTTAACAGACCTCAATGGCTTCCTTGGTAATGCAGAGAAAAAAGCATTACACAGACAAAACAAGTCTAATAAATAATAATCATATAGTGCATTCACTAGCTAGTGAAAATCTTCATGGGTTACAAAGAGAAAAAAAAAGCAGACAAATGTTTCAATTTTCTATAACAGTGAAAGCTCACCAATGTGCTCCAGCTCTTGTAAGAGACACAAATCACACAGTAAGGCTAAGATGTTCTAAGGTATCCTAGGGGTTTGAGGAGTTACAGCTCCTTCTGCCAAGTTTGTGAACTCACTGTTACACATAGTTGGGCCGCTTCTGGAGACAGGAGATCCTTGCAAGAGGCACATAGCTTAACGTCTTGTTCCCCCTAAGCAGTTCTGAGATGCCCTGGAAAGCTTTAGGTGAACATCAGACAGCACCAAACCTCTTACACAAAGCCCAATGGTCGTGATTGCATATTTTCTTTGCAAACCATTACCTTATATAATGAATGGTATCTGCTCCTGATTCTTCACTGCCTGCAGAAAGGTTCCCAATGTGAGGAGAGGCAGCAGGTATCTGAGCACGTGCACACAGGTGCCAAAGGCAGCTCTCATCTGAGACAGCTGAGAACAAACAGGCAGCAAGAGGTGACTGAATTATCCAGCTGACAGAAACAAGCTGCTGATAGTGTGCCCCTCAACATCTGTTTACTGTGTAAAAGTTATTTACAGAAACATACTAGCCAGCACTCTGCTGAAGTGTGCACTTGATTTCTTTGATTGCCCTATTTCTTGCCACTGGTTTGCTAGATCAGTGCTCCCTCTTACGTGGAGGTGGTTATAATCTCCTGAAATCCAGGTTTCTTTTCTGTTTTGATGTACGTTCTCAGTCCAACCCTTTGCCAGAGAGATGTGTATTAAAGCACCTGCACTGTTTCACTTCCTGCTTTGCTAACAACCACGGACAGAATCAGTCCTTTGTGAGTCCAAAACAACTCCTGCAGAAGCCCAGGTAGAGGTGCCATTTGGCCATCATGTACTCCTCTGCACTACTAAAATCCTGCTGTCCCTTTCTCCCGCTCTGCTTAGGATTAAATTGATGTTCATCTCCTCAGATCTCACTCACTACAAAGTAATTAAATAAGATTGGACACACGATAGTTAACATGAACTTCAAGCTGTTGCTTGAAATAGCAGGTAACAGATGGAGACAAAAGACAGTAACTACTCTGACACTTCTATCTTTAAGTGTTTGTTTATGCTAAAAATATGCTCCAGCTCAACAAGCTTGCCTTTGCTTATAACCTTCCGTGTGAATTTAACCTATGCTTCAGAACTGCCCCCAGACCCAAGGCCAACTTTACCAATATTTTCTGAAATCACCAGGAGTTCTGGGGTTTGAATCTATAAGATTAAATTAAAAACAAACAAAAAACAACAAAAACCGAAACAAAAAACAACGGAACAGAAACTAACACGGCTTCCAGATTTTATTCTCTGACTTTATTTAGAATGTCTGACTGCTGATCGCTGATGCCAAACACGATGGTAGGTGGCTGCAGGCCCCACCCCCGCCTCTGGGCTGACACCCAGCGCAGCACCGGGCAGCGATGCACGGCTTGGTGGCTGTTTGCCTGGGGAAGGATTACAGAGCCTGGTGCATGAATAATCATCCATAACTGAGGGTGAAATCCTATACCTAATGTAAAGATCAGTGCTGTGTCCACAAAATCACCCCCTGCTATGACACCGATAGCTCCCTTTCTTCTCTATACTGAGTTATGAATGACCTTAGTTCACTGCCATACAAACATATGAAGGATAATTGAGGAATAAAAGGGAAATTGTCACAGGAGATGCATACTTGTATGCGGAATATGCTGTCCAAACATTTCCAAAATGTTCATAAACTTTACCTTCTTTTTTTCTTTTTTCCCCAATATGCACATTATATACACACCACAGGCTCAGTTTTCCCATATTGGTGCTTCTCTTCATGCCCGAACTCCTTACATCTACAGAGTCCCTGAAGAAGCAAAACAGTTTTTTCTGATATTGAACATAATGTATGGGATTCTTCCCCAGCTGCTGGCTTACAGGTGTGTCCACAAGCCCGAGTTTTTTATGAAGGTGAAAGAAGAAGAAAAAACAGAATAGCACAACTGTTTTCAGCTCCTCTTTTTGGCTGTGTATGTAATTGGGTTTGGATGTAATGGAACTTGCTCGGACAGAACCCAAATGAGGTGTGCCAGATTGCACAGCTGTGTGGAGATGCATGGCCTTGTTTGTTCACCTGACTCAAAAAGGGAAAATAAAGATAACTGCTTTCAATATCACTTCTCAACATTTTGACTCCAAGCACAGTTCGTACTTCATATATGGTTCATTTTTAAAATATTGCATGGAATTAAATAATAACAGTGGCAGTGTTCTGCGTCCACACACTGAAGAATATCAGTTAGCAATCCCTATACAAACTTACTACAGAATGTGAAGGTCAAGATTTTCAAGTGTCGGAAATTAACATACATAACTCTGTAACATGCACATGTTTTATTTGTCAAAAAGTAATGTCTCGTGGGTCAGCTTGTTAAAAACCCCAAGAAATCTTTCAAGAAGCAATCCACTGTGATGGTATGACTCCATTTATGCTATGCAAGTCGTATAGTTTTCTTAATACTTTCAAGGATTCACTTCTGCAAGGACTACTCATCTGCTTGAAGTTAAGCATGTGCTCACTTGTGTTTCTGAGCTGGACATGGAGTGCTCCCTGCCTTGAGCAGCAGCCCTTCCACACTAACATGCACTTTCCAAGAGGAGGGTTCTGCTGAAGCGTTACCCTGTGCAGCTCCTTTTGCTGATGGCCATAAACAAGTAGCAGCATATACAGAGACCTTGCTTGGTCTGTTTAGGTTTCTGCTTGCAATCGCTACTGATACTTCAAGCAGGATATTTAGTGCCTCTCTTGCAGATGAAATTGGCTGATACATTTTAACTGCACACACTTTATTTTGGGGATGTTGAATTTTGGGTGTTTTGACTTGGAGAATTTCAGTTTTCTTTTTGAACCTGATCAGTAACAGGAAAGCATCAGCTCATGCGCATGCATGTTGCACTCTACACAAGGGGACTTTCAGAGCAGCAGGAAAGTCATGCGTTCACGCTCCGCAGTGAAACACTGAGGCGTGGTTGGTAGCAGCGCTCAGAAGACAGAACCCATGGTTTCATACCTCTGACCACAGGGCAGGCCCAAAAACCACAGCACATCTTTGTCAGTGCTTCTCGGTAAAAGGGAACTTAAGCAATGGTTTCCTTCAAGCACCCAACCTCCCTGGTGTGGAATCCTTCCACGTGCGCTCGAATCTGGGACAGCTCCAACCCCGTCCTCCCAAGAAAACAAGCCCTGAGCTGTTGGGCTGCAACAACGCGATGTCTCACAGACATTTGCACCTCTAATGTCACTTCTAATGTTTTTAAAGAAACTTTGAATACATTCAAGGTGAATTTAATAACCTCCTGTTATCCAGAAAAGGCAAAGTACAGAAAAAATAAAGATCTCACCTGCACTTGTATCTATTATGGTCAACTCATGTTAACAGAATGTTTTGCTTTAATACTTGACTTACATTAATACCTCACATTATTACACGTATGAAGCCAAATATGACGCTAACTTAGTTGCTTACAACCTCAAACCTTACTCCCAATACACATTCCAATAAATTTATTCTGTAAAAACAATACATTTTTTTGTTTTCTTTTTGTTTCGTTTTTTGTTTTTTTGTTGTGGGTTTTTTTTTTTTTTTTTTTAGTTTTTTACAGTAAACTCGTCAACTACAAACCTTGAATACGCAAAAGATGTTCCAAGGACAAGCATAACAAGGATTGATAAAACCAGACTAAATATGTTTTCACAATAAAAGCTGGCATAAAAATAAATAAAAATCTCTATTATCACAATAGCAACAATAATGTACACAGAATAATGGATTTGGAATGCTTACTTACTAGTCTAGTTCTATTTCCAAAAGGAAAAAAAAGCCAGAATGACAGCATCCTTTTTAAGCCTTTCATTAATTAAAATCGATGTTTTCTTTTGGTTTCCCATAGGGTTCTATATCACAGTAAGCTTAAAAGTGGAAAGCATCCAAATGAATGATCTCAAATTGTGTTGGCATTGGAAAAAATCCTTGTATTAATCTAAAGAAACACAAAAAGACTTTCACTAACTTCACATATAGGAACTAAGTCAGATAGTGTACATTACATCATGATTTTGAGAAGTATTAAGAGTATAACTAGCTAGGTACTTCTAGGAAGGAAAGGTATTGTATTACATTATTGAACTTGGTGGTGATCTCAACGCAAAAAGATTTTTTCTTTCATGTTGTAAACGGATCAAAACCCAAGAAAGCATGGCCATAGGGAAATTTAAACTAATGTCTGTGGGTGGAAAATACTGTAGCGTTGTATGGAAGGGACTCTTTGCCAAGATTTACTTGTGTTTAAAAAAAATGCTGATATAGAATGATATAATCTGGAGTTACACCTTTTCTGTTTAGAAAAGGGATCTAAAACATGTTCAAGTACGCGGCATCTTCATAAACCTCAGCCACTGGGAAAGGGCAACTTCATGCAACCAGATAATATGAAAATCGAAACGCAACCCTTAGAAAAAAGGGTAAAATGTCATTTCTGCAAACACAACAGATAGGAATGTGAATAATGTGCATACAAACTGGGATGCTGTTGATGATACTAATGAACAGATGTGATGACTCATATCAAATCCAAGAATATTAGACAACCAAACATGTAACCTTCTTGTGTTTTCCCTTAATATTCAGCAGTCATTATGTTGGTTAAGTCTGAAAGAGAGAAAGAGAGAAAGAAAAAAAAAAAATCACATTTTATGTACAAAAAAGCTTGCTCTAACAAACCTGATATAATTAATGCCTTATTGCTACATTTCAGAGCTGCCGGCACAAACAGCTGCTTGGTCTCTTCAAATGAAATTTTTGGCAATTTTTTTTTTTCCAGGAGAAAACTGCATATGTTTCATCAACCCAACAGACCACCACAAAACATTGAAGAGCACAGTTCAAACATTCAGGGCTTTATTCAAATGAGCAACTCAAGCCGCATGTGTAACGAGCTGTTTTTCTTTTTCCCCAATCCCTTAATAGTGTCTTGCAGTACACACAGCCAGATGTTGCCTTATTCCAGCAGCCCGGGTCACTGATGGCCTCGTGCAGGAGCTGAGGGCTGCTGTACTCCTGCATGCTCTGTGGTGAGGATGCTCTTTGGCTCAAACAAATGAACGCTTCACAGGCACAAAGAAAGATAAACACTTCTCATAGCTAACGCGTCTGAACGTTCCTTCTGAAAGGGAAATAGTTTGGCTTGGAGTTCACTGTAAAGAGACGACAGAAAAGGAAGAAACTCCCACTTCAAGACTGAGTCAAGGTCAGCCCTGGCTTCCACTGACACTAGCAGGAACAGCATCAGACCATCCCCATGGCCTCTTGGCAAGCATCTCCAAGTCTGTTTCTTCACATTAAAGAGAGAGAGCTAAACTCCCTTGCAGACACAGGGACACACTACTTTTATCCAACAACATGAAGACAGGCAGTGCTACTTGGCTACCTTACCCTTCCTTCTTGTAAAGAATTCAGGACATTAATGCTTGTCCACCCACACCCTGACAGACAGAAAAAAACACAACGTGCAAGCAATATGAAGGCACTGATAATGTATTTGGCCAAGAAAAAAATCATCTCAAGAAATTATGGAGTTTTGGTGACAGGTTAAATCCACTGGGGATGGCAGAAATTTCATTTTACAGAGGATCTGTAAGAGAATATAAGATATTTTAACAATTCTGCACAAACAGTTTGCTGCCCAAGCTCTCTCCCATTCTGGCCCATCATACTTGCTGTGCGTGATGCCATGGCTAGAAAAGAATACACTTTTCTGCTCTAGAGGATAAGAGCATTCCAGTGCCCACTGGGATCCCAGTCTGGTGGCTGCTCCTCTGAACTGTGGGGTCTGTTAGTTCACTGTGGTTCTTCTGTCCTAACAACAAAGGGTTTGCAAACTACTGCAGCGCAAGCAGTAAGTAATGCACTTTCCACCTGTGAGTCCTGGTCTATCCTGACTAGTGGCACATGAGAAGGGGTTACTCCAAAATGCTTGCACACAAATGATGGCTCACAGGCAGCAGCCTGAGCCCCGCCTACCCTGGAGAAGCATAGTGATGTAGCTCATCCCAAGCACCAAGGGTCCAGGATTTCGCTGCTCTCTAAGATTCAATGAGATTGTGCTTACAGATGTTTGGAGACATGGCTTGGAGGGTTTCACTGCCATTTCTCTTCCCTTCAGAAGGTGGTGCAGATACCCAATAGGGCAATGCCAAACGATTAGTCAATCAGCACCTTCAAGCAAAGTTCGTAGTGACAGCTGCTAGCCAGTCCTGGTAAGGCTGAATGGTTGCTGAAGCAGTTGGTCCCTGCAGCACTGCTGTCAGATCCGGCAAGGAAAGCTGTCCTTTTGCAGCACTAAAGCTTTGCACTTATTAACAACTATGCAGCACTGGGTTAATGCCAGCAGGCTGGGTAGCACCCTGCTCACGTGGTGTGCTGCGAACATTAACAGTTCCATTACCCACAGATGTGTCTGCTGGGCCACGGTGCAGCACAGCAGGGAGAACAAAGAGCCAGGTGCATGAACCACGCTCTAGGACTTCAGCAGTTCGCAGCATCTTCTTCCATCACGACACACACAGTGTGCCCCGTGCACACTGCCTGCTTTCCCAGGAGCCAGCAGTGCTCCTCCCCGCATGCATGCAGCCCACGGGATGTGCGGCTGTGCAGGAGCACCTGGATCTCTCCTGGCTCCTTCATTCAGCAGGGCAGTGTGACTGCCGGGCTCCCATGTCATCTGCTGAACAAGGATGTGGCTGAAGGAGGATGTAGCACAGCCAAGCAGTTTCCATGGTCTCCATGGTTTCATTTCTCTTCAGAAACAAATCCCCACACATCATCTTTGAACACACCGCTCAGCTTCCCTGTAAGGCACAGTGCAAAATGTGCTGCACTTGTCTGTGCTGCTGCATGCAGAAAAAACAGCACACAATGTGGATGATGCAAGCAAGAGGCTTCAGGCATCAATAAAATTGAACCTGGTGCTCTAACAGAAGGACTGAGCATAAAGACAGCAGAGAACAGAAATAAGCCCCCAAATTTACTTTTTGTTCTGAAAATTCCTTCTTTAGCATTACGTGGCGACTCAGCTCTCCTGTTCTCTTCTGGGATGGGCAGAAGGAAAATTATTTTCTTGCTCTTCATGATCGTTGTTATTCCATGCTGGTTTGAGGTCAAAACGATTACGAGATTCAGTGCAGACAGAGACACGGAAAGTCTATTTCGTCTATGCCAGCTGCTCGAACCTCAGCTTGCATTCAGCCATTCATGCTCCTCCTGCGTTACCTTCCATTGCCTCGCTGAGCAGTGCTGCTGTCCAGAGCTGTATGAAGGCAGCAGCCATTGCTCACCTTCACACAGCAGCTCACTGCCTGCCTCCATGTCATTTTGCACAGAAATTTTTACTCTGCATTTTTACCAAAGTTATCTTTTTTGGAGGGGTAGATTTTAACTTACTTGAAAGGAGTGCACATTCCATTTGAGTTCTCTGGCAGAATGCCCACATAATGCTTTTACACTGAATAGAGCCCTAAATGCTATGTGTTTAACGCTGATAAAACCCCAAAGCTGCTGTGCAGTCTGGTCCACGTTTTTCTTGGGAAGTGAAAAAAAGGAAGAGCCAAAGCAAACTGCTTAAAATCACATCAGAAAGCCATGGTGAACCTGGGTTTGCCAGGCCAGCATGGCCATAACGCTTTTCTCTTAAAACTGTAAGCAGAATTGTTGCTACCCCACAAGAACATCACAGCAGAAGAACGTGCCTTGGACACAGGCTGTTTTAAATATGTTCTCCCAATTGCAATAGTATCAGATGGCAGTAATTTTGGAGCAGATTTTGATCCCCTTATTTATGTTGGCAAGCAGTTGCCTCCACAAATAGATCCACCACCTCCCATGTTAGCAACTGATTGTCAGTGTGAGTAAAAAGATCAGAGTCCTTTATCTCACTTCAATATTCTGGCTGCAGCAGGAGCAAAAACCCAAACCTAACAACACGCATATTGAATTTCCAACAAATCTAGCCTTTCAAAGACAGTAAAATAATTCACCTCCTGAAAAGCATCCATGGGCATCCTTACACAGGCAGGCACCAACACAACTCTCACTTATCAAGACAGTATCTGGACTAGCAAATAAAACAGTAAATGCCTCAAGAAAAAACAACCCCAATGTGCTGAGCTTAACAGTCAATACTTTCTTATAGCTTAGAGACTACGGTCAGGAGTCAGGCTGATTATATGGGCATCCAGAGCAGTGAAAGTAACAGCGATTGAGGAGGTCAGCTCTAACATCAGCCAGCCAAGAACCAAACACACAGGTTGCAGGAGATTTACCTGCAGAATGCAAGTATGTTGCCATGAACTCACTGATTTGTGAGCTAATGCTGCACCCTATAAAGAAAGGCATACAGAGCCATGGATCCCTTTCCATGGGAATATTCTGTTTATGGGGTGTTTTGGAAAAGCCAGCACCATTCAGTATTTAACAGCAGAGAATTGTCACGGGGGACTGAGCAAGCTCTGGGGTGGGCTGCCTTACTTCAGGAATGTTATTTTAGGTAGGTTAGTTCACTAATAGTAGACAGTAAAACCTTATATCTTTCCACTGAGGGAATAGGACACACAGCACAGTGAGAGCAAGAGCCTGAGCTGCAGGTGGTGGTGGTGAGTGCAATTACAGCTGGGCACAAGGACTGTCTGTAGATCTCAAGGATGAGAGAGAAGCTAAAAGAAAAGAAGAGATAAGGAAAGAAAGCAGTTTTGTCAATCCCAGGGATAAAAAAACATCTCGAGCTGAGCCCTTGGAAGGTATGAAATTGGCTGAAAAAAAGTCATCATAGTGCTGGAAATACTTTTATTTGCTCTGAGCTTTGAGTCTTTAGGAAGGCCATTTCTGAGCTTTCCTCTGCCCCCTGGAGGCCAGGCATTTCATTAACAAAGAGCAGGGGAAGGCGCTGCGGCCACGGCTCGGCTCCAGGTAATTTTTCAGGAGCATCCCCAGGATGCGGAGGGTACAGGTGTGCCTGAGACAGAGCTCCTCTGACCCGGAGAGGGGGACAGCCCGCAGCTGGAGGGCCAGGCTTTGCCAAACACGACTGCTCCCTCACGTTAGGAAGACCAGATCTGCTACACCGCTCAGCCCCTGTGTGGGCACACCGTGGGACGGCCGGGGCTCCGCGTCCCCACAGCTGTGCAGCACCTCCCAGCCCGCCAGCCCCAGTGGGTAACCAGCACAGGGTAATGCAGCTCTCTGCTCGAGACGCCCCAAACTCATCCTTTTCCTAGAATCACAGAATGCCTGGGTTGGAAAGGACCACAAAGATCATCTAGTTCCAACCCCCTGCTACGTGCAGGGTCGCCAACCAGCAGACCAGGCTGCCCAGAGCCACATCCAGCCTGGCCTCGAATGCCTCCAGGGATGGGGCATCCACAGCCTCCTTGGGAAACCTTTTCTTTCCTCTGCCTCACCGATTCTTTCTACAAGACTTCTGCCTGTTCTCTTGGCGCCATCTGACGGTGGATGAGCCGGGCGGCTCGTGCTGCTATTGACACAGAATAGCAGGGATTGGATTTGGGGACTTTTGTCACTGAACCCGTGGCTGAGCTAACTCAGGAAACATTTGGTTCTTACACGGAGAGTGTGCCTGAAGTTCACAGTCATCCCCTGACACTGCTACAAACCTGGGAAACAAAGCAAACCTTCTTAAACCTCTTGCCAGCTCAGACAGCCACTGCAGTCATTTTTTTCCACACAAACACCTCTTTGAGGACAGGAAGGCGCTCAGTGTTCGCCGGCCAGAACACAGCCATGCACTGCAGCCCCCGGATGGTTCGAGGGAGGTGCTGGGCTGGCACCTCCTTGTACTGGGAGAATGGCAGAGTCCTGACCACAGGAGCCACACACCAAAGTCTTCACAAGGCAAAGAGCCACAAGCCTGATGCTTTGTACCTCAGAGAGACACGGAGGCAGGAAGCTCTTGGAGGAGTCTTAAGCACGAGATGACAGCAGCTCCCCAGAGGCTGCGTTTTCTGGGCTGAAGCTGAGCATGCAGCTGGATGCTAAGGCACCTCAGCAACGTCAGAAGGGAGCCTGTGCTGTCAGGTTCCCTCTCAGACCTGGAATTCATGTCACTCAGCAGCTCTGATGACAGCACAGCTCAGCTGCTGGCCATGCATCAGAGCTTTGGCAGGCGAACCAACCATGCAAGACTGGTTCTGAGAGGAGCAGTAAGTGCTGGAGCACAGAAGCTTGTGTTGCTCCAAAGGCACAGAAATAGTGCTGGTTGTTAAAGGGATGATTAACCAATCCCCATGCCAATACCCCGCACTGCAGCTTTCCTCTCTTTTGCCGTGGTCGTGACAAAATGCTGACACAAACACACCACTGACATAAGCATACAAGGAGGGTGTCTGAAACTGCATGCAATGATATATACACTATATATAATTAAATATATGTGTATGCACACATTTTATGTATACACACATTAAAAATTAAATATATATGCTATTGCATACAATACATTGCACACCTTCTCCTTGGAAGGCCATATCCCAAGGCAAGGTCTGCCCTAAAATCTGCAATATGCAGAGACTGTAAGGTGCACAGGAATCCTCATGAACTCTAAAGAAGTCTGTGGGATGGAACAACTTTTAAACAGGTGTGAAAGGATAAGCAGGCTCTTCAGTGAGGCAAAATGCATTGTGCAAACAGTCTGATTCTGCTCTCGCATCAACTTTGCATCATCGCAACTCATGGTTTTCAGGAGTTACTCTCAGCTGACATCCATGCCAGTGCTGGAATAAAAATAGTGCTTACAGCATCTTTTCTCATTCCATCATTTAACTAGAGCAAAATTTGGATTGGTTGGGGGGACCAGCCCCATGTTTCTGTTCTAGACACATTCTACCTGCTGAAACGCAATGCAGAAGGATCTGCACGTGGTATGCACAGATCACTGTGACACAATGCCTTTCACCCCTAACTTCACAGCCTTCTGGGAGCAAATCACATGTACAGAGAATTATACTAATGAAAGATTACCCCTTCACTGGTTTTCTGCAAATCTGAAGAAGTGTTTCTTGTGTCATTGCCTGCATCCCCAGCATCAGAGCTGCTCTTATTTTCTTCCTCTTTGCAGTCCTTATCATCTTCATCTCCAGGAGATTTCCGTGACTGCTTGGAGGATTTCTAAAATGATCAACAACAAAGTTATAAAGCAAAAACTGAGCTTCAGCCTTAGAAAGACACTTTTATAATGTATCTGCAATGCAGATCTGCCTGATCATGTGTATACTGGGGAGGATACGTGGGGTGAAAAGTAGTTGGAGTTACTGACATCAGTGAAGCAAAAAGATATTCTGTGTTCAACACAGGTTGGCAGCACAGCTGACTATAAGACAGACACAGTAATAGGAGATGGGTATTAGTGTTGGGTCACCTGTAGGTTTTGTTAGTTAATGAAACAGATGGTGCCAGCTTGACAAAAGTTTTGATTAAACACAGAGATGTAAAATGAGAATAACATTAGCAGAACTGCTTTCCATATTTTTTAGTGCTGTCAGCTTTAATAAATTAACATTAAGGCCATGTGGAACCAATATATCTTTCCTACTCCCTTTATGTTATGCAATTCTACAGTACAAAAGGATAAACTGTGGCATTAAGCCACCATTTTCATAATCCTCTGTTTGCCCAGAATCTTCTGCAGAGAAGATGGTAGACCAGACCTGAATTCCTAATGTAAAACATACAAAGGGGGTGAAATTACTTAAAAGACTTTGTTCAGCAGATGAACCACAAAAGCCCCTGCTCCTCCCCAAATTAAACCTGTATCATATTGTTTGCTTGCTTCTTTTCATTTCCATTATTTTTCACGTCCAGAAGAATAACATGAATGTGAATGAATGTGACTGCCAGACCTTCAACAGTTTTTTAAGCAAAGGACAGATATGGAGGTGGGCACAGAACTGGAGAAGTGACTACAGCATTGCTCCCTTTCACACAGATGTCAAGAGAAGAATGCATTTCAACCTACAGTTGTCACCTGCACAGGTGATTACATTGGCCAGCCATTCCAAGGCCCCCTGAGACACACTACCCTTAGCTTTCTCATCTATGCTGCTACTTAGATATTCACAGGGTAGGGCAAGCACTAAAATGAAAGTAATTAATTACCCTACTTCTTGCTTACAGAATTAGTTCTTAGAATCACAGAATCAAAGGATGGTTTGAGTTGGAAGGGACCCTTCAAGGCCATCTGGTCCAACTCCCCCGCACTGAACAGGGACACCTACAGCTGACAGCTGCTCAGAGCCCCGTCCAGCCTGACCTGCATTGTCTGCAGGGACAGAGCACCCACCACCTCTCTGGGCAACCTGAACAGCTCTTCCTCACTCCCATTCTGTTGTTTACTGTACTGAAGTATTTTACAGACAGCTACAATGGGAGAAGCTGAGCACACCTGACCCTACGCTGCCTTTTACCACAATATGTGGGGCAGTCACACATCTCCAAGATGGGAGAAGTAAGCTTGAGTTCTCCTAGACAAGGATCAAACCTCAGCTCACATTCTGCAAGATGCACAACTCTTAAGCATTTCAATTGCTCCTTATGGGGACTCTAAACGTATCTAACTCCTCAACTCCTTGAAAACTCTGAGAATTTCTGGCTAACTTTGAATGAATTTTCTTTCCAGCCTTTCTGAACTCTTTCCATATACCTTCTCAAAGCATAAGCACAAGAACAGGGTAGAGAATTTCAACTGCTGCCTCTCCAAGGCTGTCTCAAACAGCAAGAGCACTTTCCCTTGTCTTGGTTGAACGCCATGGTTATGGTAACGGAGTTACAATGCTAAAGAAGAAAGGACGGATCGCCACGAGGTGCATGATGTCTTGATTATAAATGCATGGGTAACTATGGAAAAACTCAGAAGATTACCTTTGAAGTGTAGGATTTTTTTCGTTTTGAGCCTGCTTTTTCATTCTTTCTTTTGCCTTTTCCATCCTCTTCTACCCGATCACCTTCCTCCTCACTGCTGGCATCTGCTGTATTTCCTCCTTCTCCCTCAGTTTCTGATGAGCTCTGTTGCTGAATTGCCTTTAAAGTAACAATAGTGACAGAATAACAATACGAATATAAATAACAAAAATATCACTACATTCTGTAGTGTAGCTGTTCTGAATGAACAGAAAGCTCTAGTAATAGAGAACTCACACTTTAATCGTTCTAGACAGGAAGAGCTCAGGATATTCTTGCAATTACCAAGAGAAAGGACTGTAAAGGCAGTTTTCTCAGCCACCACTTGAAAATGGTTATTAGATACAGATCCTGGGATAGCACATTCTGAAGGATTTACACAGAAACTGATCTGATAACAAAAGTGCATGGGCTGCAGAATTCAGGGCTGTGGAGAGACCTGGTGAGTTCTACTTTGGGCAAAGCTATGGAAACCTGTGGCTTTTGGCTGAACAGGGGAGACTTATTCTGGAGAAAAGATGGCTGTTACGGGCTCCCCAAAGGGCAAGAAAAAGTATTAGGAAAAAGCAAACACTGACCAGAAGGCTGAGAGCTCTTTGACAGCCCATCTCCCACAGCCTATTCACTATATTTTTTTTAAATCCCCAAGTGTATGCAAAACATCTGCAGAGCTGAAAATATAAAACAGGAACAGAGAGGGGCAGCAGCTTGTCTGCAGGTGGTCTGTATCTCTGGTTTGTAAGGGTTTCTGCTAATAATGTAATAGGCGTTTGCTATCTTCTGGAGGTGATTTCTACCTTCAAAGGACCCCATTTTTAAAGAGAAAAGTTCTCTGGCTTCATACAGCCCACTGACTGCTCTTCTCCCTCTCCCCCCAGCTGTGCTGACTTTTTCCTCCTGGCCTCCAACAGGGAGAGCTGTTGCACAGCAGCTACAGTCTGGGAACAGCAGCCCCAAACTGCCTTCTCACCCCTCACAACACAGACAGGTATCCTATGTGCTGTATGTGACCAATGTAAAGATCAAGACTGCCACGACCTCGAGGTCTGGGTAAAATGCACTAAACTTGATATAAAAATGAGCAACAGAAAGAAGTTGTGGTTTTGGGGAGTAAATAAAACCTTCCATTTTTAATGCAGCTAAATGTGCTGCAGAATCTTCCCCTTCACTACCCCAGAATATCAGAGGAAGCAAAGGGCTCTGCAGCACGATTGAAGCTCAGTTTGTCACAGAGTGCAGGACTGCAGTTGTCTTTCTATTTTCTGTTACTCCAATCACCAGCTGTGAAACTTTTTAGCTGCAGCAAAACCAGGCCATTCCATCATCACTCATGCAACGTTTACATAGATAAGAAGTCTTCAAAGAAGAAAACAAGAAAGATAAGGAGAAATAGAAGTGAAACTCATTTACCTGATATCCAGTAAACTTTACTCCAGGGTTGTTTTCTATTTCCCACAGGCCTTCATTAAATCCTTTTCGTTTGTTCGACTTCCCAAACTTATCTTTGTATTCTTTATATGGGAAAAGGTCTTTGGGCCCCAGGAACGCACTGCATTTTAACAAAGGTAAGACACAAAAAAGGACTTAGACTCCTCCTGTTCAAATTAAAAACATTAACAGAGTAAACGTTTTTCTTATTCTTCTACTCATTCTCATTTTTTGTTTTTCATTTTATTTCTTCATTCGCCTACCCACTGGCTTTAGGTTACTGCTGTGAGTCTGATTTCATGGACTGGCTCACCATCCCCATGTTTGATGTTGCAAAATCATGCTGTGTCTCTCTAGAAACAACTAAACTGAGTCTCATTTATTATATTAACTGCTGCTGGGAACTGGCACTCAAACAGTTTATGAAAGGGATTACATGACGTAATTGCCTGCAATAGCAAGGGAGCAAACCTCCAATCCTATGTGTTACAATTCCAGAAAGGCCTAAAAATAATATAGTAGGAAAAGAGAAAGCATTTAAGGAATGCCTAGAACTCAGGGGCAAAACCATGCCCCTCGTACTACTGGACAGAACAAGCAGGGGAATTTATCATCATCAACACTACCAGCTTCTTCCATGGAATGAGCCCCCACGTGCTGGGTTCTGTGCAAGCACAATAAAAATGTTCTCTTTCCCAAAAATCTTATAATTTTGTATAAGAAGAAACAGTGGTCGAGTATAGGCAGATGAGTAATACAAGGAAACAATGAGACACACAGGGTGCTTGTGGCCAAATTGTTTTTCAGACAGCAAAGCAAAGGAAGAGTTTGTGCCCTACTGCTCCATGTCAGCTACATGCTGTACCAACTAATCTTAGGTACAGACACCACAATGCATGTAAAAACCAAAGAGAATGGTCATTTATCCTACTTTGCTTAATTTACAGCACAATTCTAAGTTCTTGTATAAAACTGAAGAAAGCACCACTTTCTTTCCATTGACTCTCTGTATCTGGTGCTTCCTGCGCTCTGTATTGCAGTACAAGGAGAGCTGATCACAGAACTGGAGGGGCTGGAAGGGACCTCTAGAGATCACTGAGTCCAGCCCCCTGCAAAGCAGGCCCCTAACCACAAGTTGCATTAAAAATGTGAAGTTGAAATCATAACACAATGCTTCATTCCCACACGGAAGATTCCATGTCACCAAGGATCAGTGCTGAAGAAGTTTCACTGTCCTACACTATAATCACTGTCCTACTTTCCTGACCATCTCAGCAATTGCAGCTCACTCTGTGCTCTCTGTGAGTGCAGGGTCTGGGAGCCCACCCTCACAACTCAGTTATTCTCCTGACATGCTGGGTGCAGAAGCTGCCCATTCGTGCAGGTGGGCTTCTGAGCCGCAGCGATCTGCCCGACATCAACAAGAACAAATAACAAAGAGAAACCTTAGGAAACTTTCCATAACTTTCCTCAATTTCTCTCAGCACTAACGTCTGGAAATATTTATGCAGTCTTATGTGTGATTCCATGTATAGTGAACACCGAAAATTTGTCCACGGCTTTGAAATGCATTCATTGCCATGGGAGTGTGTAACAGTTTCTACTGCTCAGTTATAAAACTCATGAGCTGCATTCTACAGTTCATTATTGACAGTAAGGCTTCCTCGATTACCAGGGTAATAACTACAAAATGCTTCCCGCTTTCAGGTGCTGCAGTAAGATCACAGACTACTGAAGTACAAAACAAAAGAGATGAGCAATTTGGGGCTCATTCATTCACAGTAACAGCAGTCCGATTTTTTTCTTGAGAACCATTTTGAGGAAAAAAGTTTAAGATTTCATTTTGATTTCTGATTTCAAAGCATCAAAAGTTAATTTATCGTTTATCTTCTTAGATAACCTCATGATAGCAGTAGTACTTTACAACATATAAAAACATCAGATTATTTCATTACAGCAGCAGCAGGAAATATTTTAACTAGAAGCTATTTTGATTTTGATTATGCAGAAACTATCCTTAAGGGTCTTAAAAATGAAACATGATGCATGAGCTGGGGACCTTGTTATGCTATGGAGTATCTGTAAAACTCAGAAGAAAACAAAAACATTGACTATAACTTCAAACCTCTATAACTGAATTTAAAATGTGATCAGAATTTCTTTTTTTCATGTCTCTTTTCTTAAAAATTTCCAAAAAAGCATGTTCTTTGCAAGTAGGAGAGCTTTAAAATGTAAATATTACATGCCAAATGGAAATGGTGATTTTTTAAAAACTAGCTCAGATACTTTTTACACTGCAGTTTAAAATAGACTAGAGGCTGACAAGGCGAAACTCTGTATTTGTAGCAATTACTATGAGACCTAACTTCCCCTCTCTGTTCTGATCCCTTTCTCTCCTGCGAGGTCAGCCAGCTCTGTTCTTCCAGCCCTTGTGAGAGCTCCATCCCACAATATCCCCAGCACAAATCTCAAAGGAATGCATATATTTCAAAGCTATATGAGGATTGCGTGAGACTCTGGGGTCTGCTTCCTTTCATTTTACTGAGTTCTCATCCAGGGCAGGAGCCCAAACGTGTCTGAATACAACAGCCTGATCTCTGCTATCATGTACACCTACCTTCAGGTTTCACTCTGGTAAGTTAACACAAACAAGCTAGGCTCATATGACCTATCTCTAGTCTCCCAATGGCTTTAGTTAGGATTTGTTCCAATAAAACCAGTGGAGGCAACTTCAGCTGAAGCAGATGAGATTCTCAATGGAAAACACCTTGCTTGTTCACTTACGTTTCATGAGTCCCAAAAAAAAAGATGGGGTATTTATTTGCTGGAGGCTTCACAGCTCCTTCAGGGAGTTCATCAATCTGTGAGACAGAAAAGGACACAGCATTACTACAGACGGTGGGGCCTTGTGGCAGAGCCCCTGCCCAGCTGTGACAGAAACACTTTGGAGAGACACCAGAAGACCAACGGGCAAAGTTTTGATGATTTCATAAGCATTGCAATACATGAAGGTGATAAAATCTGGTCTGCTTAATTTTACTGTTAAACTTGGATACTGCCTTCTAAAAGCCTGGAGGGTAATTTGTCTGTCTCACAGGGTTACCTAAATAACTCCTACAGCAAGTGGGGAACAAATGGCATCTCTGAGACTCTGGAGCAGCAACAGCAGCCCACCTCACACTGGTGGTGATGGTGGCACTCAGAGTGGAACACAACGCACATCAGGGAAGAGGCTCCTGCACTCTCCTTTCCCTGGAGCCCTAATGCCTGCTTTTGGCCATTCCCCTGCCCCTCCATCTTGTCCAGTTCAAAGTTCACAGTCTCCTGCAACAGAACAGCAGAGCCCAGGTGCCTATCCATACAAACTAGAAACAAAGTGCAGCTTCAAATAACACAGGGCCCAACAGTGCGCGGGGAGGCGATGGGTTGATTGTTGGGCTCGATGATCTTAGTAGACTTTCCAACCTTAATGATTCTGTGATTCGATAATTTGTGAGATTTTTTCCAACCTTGATGACTCCAAGACAGTGCCTGTCCTACCAGAAATGATGCTTCTGGGCATATGTGAGCATCTAAAATGAAGTACCCAGAGAACTCTGGCTAAGAAGTGAGAGCCCAATGAATCTAAAAATCCATAGGGCAACACTACAGAGCAGGTGAGTGGCTTGCTGCCTGCATTTTAAACAATTCAATCTGAACTTAAGCATACAGAATCCTGCCAAATGTCACTGGAACTGAAAGCAAGGTGCTGACATACCACTGCCATAAGAAGTCTGCTCTTCAGTGCAGCCAAGAGAAGCAACCTGCCTGTTTTCACTCAGGAGGCCAGGCCCACATGTGCTTCTCTTCTTTATTCCAGCTGAAGGACCCCAAACACTGAATTCTTGTTGATTAATAAACACCAGATTGTTTTCAAAGGATGTTCTCCTTCACTGTAAAGCATCTGCTGGCTGTGCAACTCTCTGAGCGCTGACACTAATTCAGGTCCTTTTAGTCTTGCTGAAAGGACACCACGGGGGACAGAGAAACCAGAGCCTTGTTAGGAACATCACAGGGCTCCTCTCTGCAAAAGGATTGGGTGCTCTTCTTCTAGGCCTAAGTGAAATTATGCCTAAATTAGAGAATGGATGAGACCTCCAGACCATGCCCTGCAGCCAGGGGCATAGCAGTGCAGGCTGCAGCACTGTGCTGGCACCCTTCTCTTATTTAACACAGCTGATGAATTGATAAATAAAAGGAGAATGCGCTACGCTACTCATATGCACACAAAGGGAAGATACACGCTGCTGGAAGGTGGAGGCTCCCATTCAGTTCTCATTCAGCTGCATGCAAGAAAGCACACAAACAACACAACAGGCTGTTGGAGGGCCTCTTCATCACCAGCAATATACAGGAAAAAGATTGCCAGATATTTCTCCAGAACTCATTATTTTCTGACATTCACTATTTGTTTTTAAGTAAGTGCCCATAATGTGATTATTAGTTCAATAATTCATGACTTAAATACAGTTATTAGACTGTAACAGCGAGAGAAAGTATGAAGGGGAAAACACTGTAACTCACTTTACAAACTGATAGCAAGGCAGGGAGATAATACATCTCCCTCCAGAACACATCATATACTGCTCAATGCTGTGCTTTGGAGCAACAAAGGCTGTGCTGGCAGTTTACCAAGCTCTGGGGTAATACACCTTGACTGCCTGAGCACCACAGCCAGCCTCCTCTGAGTGGTGACAAGGACGATGTCCAGAGACAGACAAGAGCCCAGAAAAATGTGGGCTCCTGTGACTGAGACATACAACGTCTGCTGGAACAAGACAGGGGATCTCTTCAGTTGGCTGAAATGTGGAGCCAGCTCTGGCTGCATTGCAGAACAGCACAGTCCAGTTTCCTCAGCCCTTTAAGGCTTTCTCAGGAAATAAAGCTAGCAGCTGTAAATGATCAGTAATGCGGAGGAATGAAGACATGCTTAGCAGGGAATGCTGACCAGAAAGGAACAGAGATCTTACATCACACATCGTGCTGCACTACAGGGCAGTAAGGATCTTCTCATAAGCAGTGTCCCAGGGCAGTTAAGCCCCTTGTCATATTCCCAGCAACTCACACTGCTGGCTAAGGAGCAGCACCAGACAGGGTAAGGGATGCACACACATCTGTCACACACCTCTCACCTGCTCCCCATGTCACAGCATAGTCCTTTGTTCCCACAGTCCTTTAGTGCCCTTCTGACTGGGTATCACTGCAGGGAGCCGTAAGAAACTTTTCACAGCTTGTGGAAGTTTTCATGCACATACACACGCAGCATTAATCTGCAGTAAACAGCTCAAGGACAGGCTGCTAATGCTCTTGCTTAAATGTTTGACTGTGCAGCTGAGGTCAGGATTTCTCATGCCTTTGCTGGTTTTGCCTTGAGCCTCCCATCTCTTAGGCTTCTCTCTCCTGCACTATAATAGGGCCAAATATGAAGCAGTGGCAATGTCTTACAGCCATTTACATCTGTGACAAAAACTCCAGGGAATCTAGGGAAGGATGAGACCTTCTCTGTCATTCAGGAAGACCTCTTCCACCAACTGTAAATGAGGAAGCAGGAGATGCAAGCTTTCTCTGTTCCCAGCACCCCACCTCAGCCCCCTGTGAATGGCAAGGCTCTGAGTGCTTATTTAGCTGCAGAACAGCCCCAGCACTCCTTGGTGATTGCTGCCGTTTTGTCGTAATGGAAAGCAAGCAGTACAAGCAACCGTACTGCAGCCCCCTGCTGCTGCACTCGGTCACAAATTATTCCCATCCTACCAGATGCTTTGGTTAAATATGCTGAAGATTTGGAGCTGATATTTTTCCCCATATCAGCAAGATCAAAGGCAGAGAGGGAGGGAGGGAGAGAGAAAGAGCGCGGGTGTGTGAGTGCACCGGTGAGGGAGGCATCGCTGCTTGGAACCGGGAACAAAAGAGATGAGTGCACCCGTGCTGGGGCACAGCGCTGTAGTCACAGAAACCTCCCTAATGACTCCACCATCAGGCTACCAGGCTGCTGCTGCATTTTGCTGCTGGAAGGAAGCAAACAGATTCTATAACCCGCATCCAAAGAGCAGAGCAGCGGGCTGCAGCTCACTGCCACGGGTGTGGGGAGAACAGCGCATGGCGTGCAAATCTGATAGTGCAGCAACATCATGGACAGCCGCTTCCATTATGGCTAAAATTAACGCAGGTGGTTTCAGATTTCAAGTTTTATCCTCTTTCCTCCCATTGCTGTCATCTGCTTAATGAATCACAATCGCTTTCTTTTTGCACAGCCTCAGCAGAGCTGCACTCCCCAGCGTTTGCTTGCCAACCAAGCAGCAGAGCTTTAAAGATGTAACTGTGCTTTTTCATTCGGTAAACAGATGCCAGGCTTCTAGGGTCAGGAATGCTGCACAGAAAATGCAGCCTGGACCTCTCAACCCAGGGCAGGGCTTTATGAAATGGTGTTGCTAGGGGCTACCGGCATGGAAGCAAGAAATCTGCCTGCCTACATTGTGGCGTGCAGGCTAGGATGCATAAGCAGATTGAATACGCTGCTCTCGGCAATGCTGAGTAATTGCTGACCTCTCAGGTAGTGCTCCCAGCCTGCTCTCAGCCTGCCTTCAGCAGTCCTCCCATTGCTCATGCCAGCTCAGGAGCAGAGGGGCTCAGCCGGGGGGGCACAGACTACAGCTGCAGCCCCACAGCCCCAGCACAGAGCTGCCCCCCCAGGAACAGCAGGGCTCCCTGTCCACAAACCATCCCCTGCAGGACGAGGCAGATCTGCTCCCCGGGAGGGCTGGTGCGGGAGCAGAGGCGATGCAGCCCCTCCTGGGTGTTCTGCTCTGCGTTTGCATTCCCTGCAAAATGGGAAACATGTCTCTCTGACAGAGCTGCAAGCCCTGTTAGTGTGCCTACAGAAAGCAGCTTCCTGCAGAGGCTTACGTTACTGCGGCAGCCAAGGCAGAGGCAGCTCTGCCCAGCACAGCAAAGGGCATCCCAGGTCCATCCCATCGCTCTGAGGGACAGCAGGGCTGCCCCAAACCCCTGTGCTGCAGATATGCTGCCAGTCAGAAGCATGAATTCCAGTCCTTTGGGGTGACTCCTGGACCAGAACAGTTCCCAGATCTTGATCCATTATGTTCCAACACAATTCTACACTGACAAAAACCCATACAGTACGCAAAAATATCTACCAGGTCCACGCACACAAACAAGAAAGCTTTACTGTGGCACACAGAGATGCTTATGTGGGCACTGCAAGCACAAGAACAAGTCCTTTTCTTTTGCAAAAGGAACTTAAAACTGCAGAGCAGTAATCACTGATTGTTTTGACATGCTGTAAATGCCTTTGATTGGCAAAAGTACACAGAAGCATTGCAGAGATCTGTATCTCCCACTGAAATCTCTGGAGTCCCGGCACAGCAGTCAAGCAAAGGCCTATGGTATTTTTGCTGGAAAGTGGTTCAAGCTGCTCACTATTGTCCAACACATGCAAGCAGCTTGATCTGCAGTTAGCTTATCAGCATAGCTCTAAATGGATAAGAGCAATACTCTTCAGAATACATTGTTATAATAGGATATTTTGTGTTTCAAGAATGTGTCATTTTTATTCACATGGATTTAACACACTTCTTAATAGCTGATGCTACTGGGAGCCAGCAGCACAGCAATATCTTTTCTAAACCATTGTTTAATATACTGCTCAGTAAAAATGTAAAAAATACTTTTTTCCCCCCCCCAAAGGATCCTAAAATTTAAATAATCACAAGGATAATTAAAAAAATATATAATCTAACCTTCTAATTGGGACTCAAGTTTTGTAATATTCAACAACGATCCAACTAGATCTGGTTGGAGACTG